AAGCTTCAATGCTGCATGTTCTTGGCTGCGGTCAAAGGCCCGAGGTCTCTGCGGACTGTCAGCTTCAGGGCTGGTAGCAGCACTGGCAAATGAAGTGAATGGAGTATGTGATGGAGGCCTTGACTTTCAACTCTGACTCTAAGTTTCCTCTGGCTCCCCAGTTACTTCTCCATTTATACTTTTTAAGGTCCTTTACAGGAATGATTCTTTTAAAATGCATATCTCATCTGTCACTCTCCCCCTTCAAACCTTACAGTGGTCCCCTGAAGATGTCATGATATTAAGACAAACTCATTATACTCAGGCACCACTTAATAACTGGAGTGTGTTCTGAGAAATGTGTTGCTAGGCAATTTCACCATCAGTGAACACCATAGAGTGTACTTACACAAACCTAGATGGTCGAGCCTAGCTCAGCCCATTGCTCATGGGTGACAAGCCTGTACGGAGTGTTACTGTGCAAAATAACATGAGATTAAATTAAGCACAAAAGAAAATGCTGCAATCCAGAAATGCAGAAAACACAAGATGTCTGCTGTCTGCATAACATGCTACTGTTTTACAACAAAACTATTTTTTAAAAGTTGAAAGGGTGCACCCTTGCCCTAGCTGGTTTGGCTCAGTAGATAGAGCGTTGGCCTGCAGACTGAAGGGTTCCAGGTTCGATTCCAGTCAAGGGCACATGCCTGGGTTGCGGACTCCATCCCCAGTAGGGGGAGTGTAGGAGGCAGCAAATCAATGAATGATTCTCTTTCATCATTGGTGCTTCTCTCTCTCTCTCTCTCTCTCTCTCTCTCTCTCTCTCTCTCTCTCTCTCTCTCTCTCTCTCTCTCTCTCTCTCTCTCTTTCTCTCTCTCTCCCTTCCTCTCTGAAATCAATAAAAATATTTTTTTAAAAATTTATAAAAAAGAGTACACCCTAAAAATAATGATAAAAAGTATAGTAACTACATAAACCAATACATAGTCATTTATTATCTTTATCCAGTATTATGTACTATACACAAGGTATGTGCTGTGCTTTCACACAGCTGGCAGTGAAGTTGGTTTGCTTACACCAGCACCACCACAAACATGTCAGTAACATACTGCACTACGGCTAAAGCATTGTGAGATGATGGGGGTGTTTCAGCTCCATTGTACTCTAACTGGGTCACTGAGTATATGTGGTCCATCACTGACCGGAACATCACTGTGCAGGGCATCACTGTGGCTGTATTTGGAGGACGCTAGGTGTTATGGGCTAAATGTGTGCCCTCACTCCAGTTTATATGCTAAAACCCTAACCTTCCAAGTTATGGGTTGGTGAAGAGCAGGGACAGGCTGGGGGCTTCATTCTGCATGGAACTCTGGGAAATAATCCTGGGGCCCATGTGCCCTCCCTCCTCCTCAGGGAGACTAGTGCCCACGAAGGGGAGCTTTCTCCCAATGTCAGCTGCCCGGGACGCCTGTGAGGGGGGAGCTTTTCGTCACGGGAGGTGTGCAATGCAACGGGCCCCGGGGAGGACTGCTGGGACCAGTGGGGCTGCATCGGGGTCAGGGTTTGTCTCTCTAGACCAGTGATGGCGAACCTTTTGAGCTCGGCGTGTCAGCATTTTGAAAAACCCTAACTTAGCTCTGGTGCCGTGTCACATATAGAAATTTTTTGATCTTTGCAACCATAGTAACACAAAGATTTATATTTTTGATAGTTATTTTATATATTTAAATGCCATTTAACAAAGAAAAATCAACCAAAAAAATGAGTTCGCGTGTCATCTCTGACACACGTGTCATAGGTTCGCCATCACTACTCTAGTCCATAAACAAGGACAGTGGAGCTAAGGATGAGTGGATAAGAACCAGGTTGTCATTTTTGGGCCCCCAAACTGCACGGCCACCCCCTCTGCCTGTGGCGTCCGTGCTGGCGGTTGAAGTGTGGACCACGAGGAGGACTCGAGCTCTGACACTGACAACGCCCTGTGCTGTCTGATGCAAGCACGCACTCAGGGCCCCTGTAGAAGGGGACCTGCAGGGGACACACGGGAGTGTCCACGCTGCTGTGCCCCTTCCCTGCTGGTCCTTGTCTGCAGGACAAGCCACTGTTCACTACCATCTTCACTACAAAGTGCTGTTTGTGAGTTTTTAAAAAGCACACTTTCTCTGAGTGACTCATGCATTTAAAATCATTTTAATATATTTTACACACTCGTGTATAAATGGGGCCATGTGTTTCTTTTTATTAAAGGCGTCTTATTTAGGCTGGTCATCATATGACCAGGAGGCTCTCCGTGAGGCCCAGAATGGTAAACAGTGTGGAAGGC